CTTATAATTTAGATTGTTGTTGAAATAATAAATATATATAATTAACATTACCTTATAACAACATCATGGATTTCTAATGCGAAATTGCAAAATTTCATACAATTTATATATTGCAAATTTTATAAAAGTATCAATAATTTCTGAATATTTTTATCTATTTAAAAATTTATTTTTATTATTGAAATTTTGAAATTAAATATTAACCTCTGAAGCATTTCTCATTTATTTAAAAGTAAGATAAAAAATTAAGATCTTTCACATTTCATCAACTTATTAATAAATAATTATTCGACTGGAATATTTTTTAAATGCCATGAAAACGTAAACATTCATTATAAAATTTCATTAAAGAAAAATCTTTTCAAATATATTTCATATTTAATGTTTTAAAATTAAGTAATTTCCCAGGAAGAAATTTTAAATATGCAATTAGTTTTGCATACTGATGAAAACATATTATATTCAATGACAAGTTAGAACAGGATTTTGTACTTGTCTCAACGATAGACTGAACTCTCCTGTTGAATTCGCTTAACTATGCACATGTGAAATAGGCTAGCTTCAAAGTAAATATGACCTTTACAGATGAATACCTTCATGTTTCAAAGAAGACAAAATAGCATGATTATTGAAAATGAGAGCGATCTTGTTCACTGGGAATTAATTTTCATATTTTTTTTTTAATATAATGAATATTGTAATAAATAAAGTTTAAAAAAAAAAATTTATTTTGAAATTTTGTAAAGAAAAATGTAAAATATGAATAAAATATGAAAATTTTGATTTCAGAAATTCTTCAAATTCGCATTAATTAATAATAGTCATATTTTTAATTACAAAAAATTAAATTTTCATATTTGTAAAAAAAATAATTTTAATTCTATATTTTAATTTTTATATTTCAATACTTTGAAAACTCGTAATTTTTTAAATTTTGAAACGTTACGTATATATATTATATTTCTATACATTATCATAATTTAAATTTTTTTTTCATTATGCTGATTAAAACAAATTTAATTAAAATAATAAAATCTGATTCAAAATTACTAACATTCAATTAACCATGTGCTAATAACAAAGATTAACAGAAATAACAAGCTAGGAAAACGAAGATATTCTATTTCAAATCTGCTTTATAATACAATTTTTTATAGCATGCCCTCTAATTATGTTATTTTGTATCACAGTAAATACAAGAATCCTTAATACGTCCAACGTATAATTTTTAGTTTTATATAACACTAAAATTACAATGAAAATTTCATTATTTTTCCTGATATCTCTTATCGACATTTTATTACAGCCTCTATAAAGAAAACCCGTGTCATGACCTATACCGATAAGAGTATCTATAATTACAACGTCCCCCTGACTCACTCATAAAGTATAATTACTCATAAATCGCCATTTTTCTCGAGTCGATACCATGTTATATACGCAACGTGGATACAAGATTAAAGAAGGAAAGTTGCAGTCGTCCGCATGAAAATGGAACCTAGCATTTTATGTCGAAAAGCACTTTATAAAAAGAAGAAAAAAAAAAGAAAGAAAGATATATCACATTACCAGTGATGGTTATCGATGTTGCAACAATTTCGTAGAGAACGAGAAACAAAATAGGGAACTTTATTTGAATAAAGATGTTTTATTGCGCAAAATGTAACAAATTGCATTTTCGAGATATACGTTTTACGTGAAATGCAAAGTTAAATGTGAAAAATATGATAGACTTCGCGTATAAAAAGTTTGAAAAGGATAAGAGATTAATCCTTTCATTTTGAGAAAATTCTCTTAAGTTAAGCTCTTTAGAACATAACCTAGAATTCGTGAGCAGAATAAGGAAAATTAATTTTGAAATGATTATTGAAATTACCATTCGGAGAAATGAGAAATGAGAAAATTGTACGTAAATTTACGAACAATAAAATAATTAGCATTATGCGAATATTATATTTGATGTATTTTGAATAAAACAATATTTGTTAGTTGAATATTATTTCTACTGCGTAAAAATCCATATTCTGCTCGTATAGCATAATATAACTTTGTACATATTGTAATTAAGCATAAAATTCTAATCAACAGACATTTAAAAAAATAATTGAAATATTTTTTATTTCTACTAAAATAATTTTCCTCGTTAAAAAACTCTTTTGCATAAAATGTTTTCATATGAAAATATATAATTAAATATAAAGTTTAAAACAATAGATATTTAAAAGAACAATTAAAATCTTTATATTCACCTATATTAAAACTTCTATTTTTTTTTTTTCAGAGAATTCTATATTTTATATATGATAACATGTATCAGCATCACAAATATTATAATTAAATATAACATTTAAAACAATAAAACAAATCACAATATTTAAAAAAACAATTGTTATTTTTACATATTCACATTCATTTATATTAAAACCTTTTCTCGTTTTATATTTTCTACATTTTCTTTCGTATATTCAAGATAACCTTCAAACGAATGTCACTAGCAAGTAATTATAAACTACGACACTCAATAATTCCCTAAAAAGTTCCTAAAAAGAATTCTATATATTTTCTTGCAATAAATAAGAGGTTATAATGAAAAATATATATAAATGAAGATCGTATATATGTAAAAAACTATTAAATAAATTCTCGTTAAAATTGAAGATATTTTTTTTTTTTTGGTGGAAGAAATTTTTTTATTGGTGGAAACGAAAAATTACTGTCTCTAGAGCATTTCCATATAAATAATAATGAGAAACTAAATTAACAATATTGACAAACAACATCGAGTCACAGTACGATAAATCCTTCTTGAAAATTCCATTATATATGTATCATGCTTTTTATATGTATGCGTAATAAAACCTTCGAAATCTCTAATTATAACTCGTATATTGAATTGATATTGGTTTTCGATACAATTCGATATTATATTTGTATATTTCATTTTTAATTATAGTGACCTCATAATTAAAAATTAAAGCTTATCAAGTGTAATATTGTATGCCTAAAATTATTTTATGAAATATTGATTGGTTTATATTTAGACAGTCATCCACTCTTTTCATCTGTGGAATGTAAAAATATCTGAAGATTCCAAATGAAGATAGGAATATTTAATATAAATATCTAAAAATCCAATTGGAAATAAAAATATTTAAAATGAAGATATAAAGAATTAGTATTATTACTTTTTCAGAAATCTATAATAATAAACATTGTAAATTTTTTTCTAAATCGAATGTCGAAGAATATAAATAACACAGAAATAATATTAAATTAAATGTACTTATTTCACTTGTATTATTATTTATATATTTAAAAAGAAAAGAAAAAAAAACGTAAAAATTGTAAGGACTCGTACAAACGTAAACATATAACACATAACCTAAATTCTGGAAAATTAGATGAAATGTGTTACGCTTTTAAACAAATTAAATAATTTTTCTTTTCTATATATATTTTATATATATTTTTCACATCATTATTTTTTTTATTTTTTATTTCATGTAAATTTTTATTTAAAAAAGTAAAGTTTTCTAATGTCAATTAGCATGACAAAACAAACAGATAAAATAACATTAAATATTTTTCTAATTTAACATAATTAAATATTAATATATTGTTCACAAATATATGTTAACAAATTACGAAAAAATTTTATTTTATTAACTATAAATTCATAAATAAATAAATATTACGTTTCCATACATTGTTATATATACGTATTCAAAAATTATTTGTTTTAGGTTATGTTTTATTTTTTATATTTTATCTTTTGTGTATAGATAAAAAATATTCTATAGTGAATAATTTTTTTTTTAACTATATCACTAGTCCATCTTGATATAACAATATTAATATATCTTATAATTTATATGGATATATTAAACTGGGTTAAACAGGAATAACTTATTTCAATAGCGGATAATTTTCACGCATGAATGAGCATAATGATCTACATTTATCTTTGTTTTACATTTTTCTTATTTTTACTCACATAAATATTGATTTATAATTAAAATAAAATAGTTTTTAGCATTTATGTATAGTACATTAACACAATACACAATTATTTATATAATGGATATACATAAAATGTATATAATATTATATATTTTATAATGGAATTTATTTTTATGAATTATTAAAAATCTTTATTTATATTAAATTTAGCAAAATTATTATTTTAAATTAAATTAAATTATTATTTTTTATTAAATAATTAAATAGCTGTGTATTTACTCTATAATTTATAATCGTATAGGATTGAAAAAACATCAAAATATTAATAAATTGAAAAATAAATATTGGAAAATAGAAATTTCGTTCATGATTTAAAAATATTTTTAAAAGTGCAACAGAAGGAATATCGAATATCAAAAATTTTCAACTTTTTATTGCGCAATATACGAATCTGATGTTTATTCTGACCATGCTATATTCAGAAACGAGAAAACTGTATATTTTAAAGTATTTATTCGATTTCGTTTGCACAAGAAAATTTTAAATACAGTTTGCTTTTAGTTTTTAGAAATCGAATAAAAAGGAATAAATTGAGGATAAAAGTTATACATTTTACGCTTACGACTTGCTGAACTTCTTATGTGTTAACCGGAAAATTCTTGAAAGAATATTAAGAGAACAATATAATTGAATATATACAATTGAATATATAATTTATTCTGCGATTATTATACGTGAGAAATATGAAAGATTGATTAAAAGATGAAATTCTAATTTAGGACATTTTATAACTACATTTTTTATTCTAAATTTGAATCAAATATATTTTTAATCATTTTTTATTATATTTTGTACATTTTGTAAACTGTATTACATTTCTTTAAAAAAATCTTTTTTTCACTAAGCATTGGTTTCCTTTTAATTTTAAGAAAAAAAGTATTCTATTTTATATTCTATTATTTTCTTTATGATTTTACATGCTTTTATTTATATGTATAATGCACTTTTGCTCTTTATTCGTGGATACAAGATATCTTTGATGAAAATATATTTTCTAAATAAAAGTACAATCTAAATAAAAAAATATCCTTTACAAAGATTTTCAATCATTCCACTAACCTCGAGGTTAGTGATAGATAAGTTTAAATCAATTTTGAACTATTTCAATTCAAATAGCACAGCGATCATAACACAGTAAACTTTTCATCGAGCTTGAACTTTGGACGAGTCGTTCCAAGTTCAGAAGTCTTCATGCTTTTGATGCTATTGAAAAATCCAAAACTGTTACATCCACATTTCCATGCTCTTTCAAAAAAATACACTTCCGATCTAAATAAAAAAAAAGAAAAGAAATCTTTTCATCAGCGTTTCTAAAGCATTTTCTTGCCTCACTAGTGATGGGTTTAAACCAACCACATTTGAATCAAACTTCAAAAACACACAAACGTAATGCTTACCTTTCATCGAGCTTGAACGAGGACCTGGACAAGTCGCCCCAAGCGCTCATACTTCTGCTTCGCCTCCTGTACGAGGATTGCGGCGCGAGTAGCCTCGAGCTGCTCCGCCTCCTCGGGGCCAAATTCTCCGCGTGGAAATACACTTTCGGCGCCTTCTGCTGTGCATTCGGGGGCGTTGAGCTCGGTGTGACCGCCGTCGAGGTGATGAGTTCCGGCAGTGCCTCGTAGTCCCATGCTCTGGCGCCCATTTCGAGCAGGGGGACCGACGAGGCAGCGTTCTGGCCT